ACCCCTGTGTTAAAGTGCATTTAGCGGTGATTGCACGTCTGTTTGTTTTGTATATATATTTTACTGGTTGAGCATTTAGCATCCAGTTGAGCACTGGCAGCTGTCCATGCAAAATGGTCGAGATGTTGGGAAGAACTGTACACAATTGTGGTTAAGATTGAACAAGAGGGGGGTTCAACTCTAGTCCTTAGTAGACTGTATTGTTACATTTCTTGGGCATCCAGAAAAATCAGCTTGCTATTAAGAAAGCATAAACAAAAGAACCCAAGCAGATTCTTTAGAGCTTTGTTTTCCAAGTTGTGGTGAAACATATTTTCAAACTAGACCTCTCAGACTGGTATTTCAGGAAAGGCTGTCAGATTGGGAACACGGAGAGAGACACACTTTCCGAGTGTGTGTTTGTTTATGTCTGTCTTTGCCACTTTAAAGGCCTATATGTGCTTTATGGTGTGTTTAGGTGTGTCTACCAAAGGCTGTTTGCTTACATTAACTGTGATTGTGCTTGTTTGTAAGTGTGTGTGCACGAGTGAAGCATGAGGTGTGAGTCACAGAGGGTCGGCTTGTAAACTCAGACAGGAGGCTGATCAAATAGGAACCATGAGGCTTAAGGTGGTGAAAGATGGCTTACAAAACAATACAGACATGTATTTCCTAATTCACCTGGTTTGGCTGGAATCGGTTTTTTGCGCAGTACAAGGACATCAGAATATCAAGTTTGTACAATAATTGTGTGGCAAGTATCACATTGTAGACTTAACGTGGTAATAAATCATGGAAAGTTATTTCTGGAGAAATCCGCTACAGTTTTGGACAGAAATAAGGGTTGGACAGAGTTGAACAGCACATTTTTGAATTTATTCAGCCATGTCTGTAAAACCAGAAACCCTTGACAAATAACTTGTTTTCAGAGGTCTTGGGTTTCTCACGCTAAAAAGTGCTGGACTCGAATAAGGCCGAAAGAATGTGATATGGCGGTCTAAGTAGCTGTGGTCATCCTGCATGGTCATTACACCCACTGTCCATTTGTCATATAAGGTTAGCCAAGATGGAGTCCCTTCTTGACAGACAACGTGAATAGGGGAAGCTCTATCTGCCTACGTTTGTGTGTGTGTGCGTGTGTGAGCGGGGGTACTGGAAAGCAGTGTCTTACACAACTGTACCATATATATATATACATATTTCCACACATTTCCCAATAAGATGTCACTACAGTCGTCATTTTCTATATCAGTGAGATTGGGAAATGTTTATTTTTCATGAAACCAAGACACCAGGTCATGTGGTCGATACACTAGCCTACTGCTTTTCCTTTTAAAGTGTGTATGGCAGAAAGAAAACCTCCTGATCTGAAAAGTGCGATAAACCTGCATTGTTCCAAGTTGTTGATTATATAGAAGTCTATGAAAAAATTACCAGTACACATTTTCCTGACATGTTTGTAGGCCTACTCTCAACAAAATGACAAAGTCTAGGTTACAAAACAATAGTCCCTAAACCAATGGGTGATGGCACAGTGACTGTTTCTACTTTCCATCAAAAGTGTCTCACTCTTTTACCTCTCGTTTACGTCTATTTTCTACTTCTCACAATCTCTAATATTTCTCCCTCCCTCCCACATTTTCCCTACAGGTCAGGTGTCTGGGAACAACAACACCACCTTCATCTCCAGCGGTCAGGTGATGAACTTCAGCGGGGAGGTCATCGTGGTGTATGTCAGCCAGACGTCTCTGGGCAGCGACGGGCAGGGCAATTCCTTCGGGAGCCCCGTCCAGGAAGAGGCCAATGAGACGGCTCTGTTCTTCCAGAGCAGCCTGAGGTCACAAGGAGACTCCATTTCCCAGAACACCTGGCAGGAAGAGACACTGCCAGTCCAGGAAGTGGTGGTGGAGCGGCCGCTGGGAAAGTGAAAAGGGACCAATGGCTGTTTCTTTCTTCAGTACAGTGATCATCTCAATCAGTTAGACTTTCAAAAATGACACGTTTTGTTGGTTACTGCACCTTAAATATGTTCGCTTCCAAATTACATTTCAACAACTAGTGAATAAAAAACACAATGTAGCTTTAAACAAGGACAGGAAGGCTTTCAATTCAAATGTTGAAGCTATCGATCTCTGCCCACATAATTACTTTAGACTGTAATATTCTATAATTTGACCAGTTTGAAACATAAGTCACTAAATCTTTTAGTATTTTTCTCTTTGGAAGGCTTCGTGCCTTTTCAAATGGAAACCCCCTCCCTTCCAGACAATGATGGGGAATTTTTATTGGAAGTTGGATGTGAAACTTCAGACTGGAAGAACGTCATGTTTTCTTATTGTTGTATGGAAATTGCAGCTGGCTGTTGATTTAAAGGAGTTTTTATTTCCCACCTTCCATCATTGTCTAGTCCAGGTTGAAGTCTGTAGAATTCTGCTTTTGCTCCTAATTTGACATTTGGATGATTTCAAGAGTTTCCTTTGCATACAAAATATCCACCATGTGGAAATAATTGTCTATGCACTCACAAAATCATCCCATAAAAGTCAATATTTTTATGCAATGAAATTCAATCTACATGCTACATTAAGAAGTTGCTTTTCACTGAGTGAATGTTTCTCTTTTCTGCTTTGCAGGGTTTGGCAAAAGCTAATTAACAGTAAAGACACAGCCAGTTTTGGTACGATGCTTGTTTATCCCAAATGTAGAGATTTGTTTTATTCTGTTCTTATTGCACCACAAGTGCAGTGTGTGTCTAAGAAAATAAAATGCTATGCATTTGATAAGCTATTTTATTACTGGTTCTTTTTGTTTCAATATGTTTTAATGTGCAAGCCTTAATGAAGAAAAGTAAAATGTCTGTTTATATTTTAATTCATTTCACAAAGATGATTGTTTATGTATTATTTCAGCAAATGCATGTGATAAATGTTTTGTAAATATCTCAAAAGAAGGGTTTGTGAAACAAGAATGAAATTCTCTTTGTGCTTCCTCATTTGATTTGAGGTGTGAATGATTTGTTTCCGTGGAGCCATGAACAGCATGCAGAACACACACTGTAGGAGTTTCAAGGGACTGTTCAATTACAACCTCGACAAATGTATGCAGCCTTCAAATAATCATGTACAAACCAATCAAACATTTTGCAATGAATGACTGAAAGAATATTTTGTTTGAAATTAAATATGTTTTGCATCTAATCCTTTCAGGGATGGCTGCTATCCTACATTCTGTGGTTTCTCTCCGTCAACTTTCCTATTCTGGGTTAACAAATTACACTGAGTCGTTTATCTCCTCATGACGATCTATAATCTTCTTAAAGCAAAGCTAATTACACATGTGGCACGGCCTCTCTTTGCCCCGTGTTGACAGACAGACAGACGGCCTTTCATCAGGCGCTGGATGGTGAGCAGCTGTGAGGGGAAACCGAGTCAGAGAGGCAGCGTCACACAGAGACCACATGAGAGGCTGGCAGCACTCATTTAGGCCTGGTTTGGGTCAGCAGAAGTATGTTTATGTGTGTGTGTGTGTGTGTGTGTGTGTGTGCGAGTGCATTTTGTCTCGGCTTATTTTATGCTTGTTTGTGAAAACAGGAAGTTATGACTGGCTTTCACATGGTTTACATGAGACCTAGCTGCCAGGCCAACACAGAACCTGACTGTAGGTTTAAATGATTTCAGCCCCCCCCCTTCCCTGTGAGAGAAAACAGTCCCTCATTTCACTGAAGACAGGCAGGCAGTCCTGAACCTCTGCATGCTGCTACACAACGCCACCTACTGGCAACTGTTTGTCAGGAGTAAACGAGGCATGCTCAGCTTGTCACATGTTTGAAAGCAGGTCCTTTATTGACTAATTATAGTCTGTGACAAGCTCAAATGTGAATGTGATCCCCCCCTCCCACCAAAAAGGAATCAATTATGCCCAAAACGGTCAAACTAAATTATTTATTTTAAAGCGTTAAAGAAATGTCCACTCTTTATTGATGCAAAAATAGGCTTGAATTCGACCACAAAAAATCCAGAGGATGCAAAAAAATGAAATGCTTGATTGTCAAAATGTCCCTAAAGAAAACCCCCAGAGCCAATCTTAACATGTACCCCCCCCACCCTTGTTAAAATGAAACCTACTCCCGTGGTTTGTGGTCCGATTGAAACATACTTGTACAACCATACAAAACATTTTCCACCGCACACACACACAACTTTAAATGCTGATGAAATAAAAAAAAACCTGAAGAAAGGGTGGAGGGATCTAATTTTTGAGGATCAGATTAAGAGTGATGATGGTCATTCCCAATCAGAAATTAGGCTAAACGCCTCACTTACAGGTGATAGCTTAGAGCGTCCTGTGGAAAGCACCAGAAAATCCACAGTGGTGAAATGCTGAAATCACAGTCGGCTCACCTGTGGATCGAGGTTTTCAATTTCACCAGCAGGAACTCTTCTGCACACTTAAAAAAGATTAGTTTTATTTCCCAAGTGGTATTTTCTTTTCAGGGAATACAGTTTCTGGTTACTTCACAGATGCTGATTTTGCATGCAGGAAATAAGAGGAGCTTAAATGGGTAAAACCCAACCACCAGAGAGAATTAAAAAGCAATTTCACTGACACACCAATGAGACATTCAATAGATGTGTTTATGTGCAGAATAGGGAACAGAAAAAAAGATCACACATTACACCAATCAGAAGGTCTGTCAGGGTCTTTCTACAGTATTAATGGTAAGCATTATATGTCTGTCACTAAATATACAAACAGTTCTCTGTTACTTGGGTTTATTGAAATATAGCAGTCTGGGCCATGTGACCTCTCACCAGTAACTATATATCAGTATTTGAAATCCTGCCAAATCGATTGGTTACATTAACAGACTTTTAACAGAGGAGGATTTGTATTGATTCACCAACGCACTCTGAAGTTAAAAGTCTCTTTCACATCTTGGACCGGAGTCGTGAGACAACATCCTCAAAGCAAGGAGCCACTTTTTTAGGAGATTTTGCCATTTCTCCTCATCAACTTCTGAAATGCAGGCACTCAGGTATGAAAATGATCATTTAGAACATTCACAAATTAAATGTATTTACCAGGATTTGGGTAAAAGATGGTTGGAGATGACTTTGGTCAGTTTAGACAGACGCTGAAATGTCAAAGGAAATTGCAAAGTGACCTTTAACTTAATTTGATATGATGACTGTTGTGTCTGGCATTCACTGTTTAGCCTCAAATGGTAAACCTCAGGCACCTTGTAATTAAGTTACTGTAAGCTATGTCACATAAACAATAATTTATTCCCTCCACTAGCCTTTTTCTATTCGATTGACAGTACAAGTTGGATTTAATCGGATGCTTGAGGTCAAGATCTCCCTTAATATTTCTCTAATCTTGTTTACTTCATTTCCTCCCTCCTCAGGTCTCAGTTAATCCCTCAGTGGTCTTCAGATGTGCGTCTAGAAGGGAAGACAGCTATAGTGACGGGGGCCAATGTTGGAATAGGCAAAGAGACGGCCAAAGACCTGGCTGGCAGAGGCAAGTAAACAAAATAAAATGAATACCACGATGATTTATAGGCAGTTTGTATTAATATCTTAGCTGTGCAATTTAGATTTTCTGTGTGCAAAATATCATGCATGATTATCAAACATAATGAGGTGGCTCCAAGGTCCAAATGAAATGATATAAATAAATCTAACTTTCTTATGGAACGAATACTGGTTTCAATAAAAAACAGCAGATACATTGGAATTACAAATATTGCCTATAAAAGTGAGCTTAAAACCACCTTACTTTGTTCAGATTTCAACATAAATGCATGCATTCAACATTAAGAGAGTTCATCTCTGCAGGGGCGCGGGTGATTTTGGCGTGCAGAGACATGGCGAGGGGGGAGCAGGCGGCTCGGGACATCATGAGGGAGGTGAAGGGGGCAAAGGTCGTGGCCAGGCATCTGGACCTGGCCGACACCAAATCCATCTGCCTGTTCGCTGAGAATATCTACAACAGTAGGTGGCATGCACACACATGAACTCCAGAATCCTGCATACATTTTTCATAAAGTAATCAGGTAACTTTTGTGATCCAGATGAGAAGACTCTTCACTTCCTGATCAACAATGCAGGCGTGGCCATGTGCCCGTACGCCACCACAGTGGATGGGTATGAGATGCAGTTTGGAGTCAATCACCTAGGTAGGAGTCTTTTAGAGATGTCCCTTTGTTTAGTGAATGCTGGGGATGTTTGATACATTCTAGGAGCTTCTCATTGATAAAACAAATCTAACAAAAATGGTATAGGTCCCTGAAATGAACAATTAGCCTTCTAACCATAGCTAACTAACAAGTTCATTGTGTCTCTAAAGCCTTTGTGTATTTATTTAAAAGTTGCATATTAAGTTGCTTCGTTTTGCCTTCTCTGTGTCTCATTTCTTCTTCTTTCTCTCTACTTCTACCGATGATCCCCCTCCTCAGGTCATTTCTTCCTAACCTTCCTGTTACTGGACCTTCTGAAGCACTCGGCCCCATCCCGGGTCATCAACTTGTCCTCATTAGCTCACAACATGGGCAAGATCCAGTTTGATGACCTGAGCGGAGACAGAGCCTACCACCCGGTCAAGGCCTACGCTCAGAGCAAGCTGGCCAACGTGCTGTTCACCAGTGAGCTGTCCAAAAGGACTGAGGGTAGGCTGTGTGCTTCTGTAAGAGAGGACAGCACTATGCACATGTATGTCTGACTTAATGTCTGTTCTGTGCCTCTCTGTCTTCTTCCCTGTGCGTAAAAAATGGATCTGCATCTTTCTCCAGTGTGAGAGTCTCATGCCTCAACCACAACGGCTCCGGGCCAAAAACATAGCATGGAGAAACTTGTTTGTAAAAATAAAACTAACTTTCATCGCTCCACAGATAACACCTTGTTTCTCAGTCTCACTTATAATCTAATCATTTCTACAGAGATGCTTTCAAGTGAAGGATGACTTTTTTAAATATTTAACTTAGCATTTATTTACCAAGATTCTGATATTTATCTTTAAATACTTCACATTTGTCATTTGTGTTTGACTTTTAATGGGTTGTCGTAAGGGTTTCCTTCATTTCAGGTTGACCAAAACACTTTTTTGATTGAATAGCAGTGTGTGTTTTGTGGGTTTGCCATCGGCATCAACTCATTTTAAACAAATCCTGTATCTAAAAACCTTCTTTTGCCTCAGCTCTAGGTGTGATGGCTTACTCTGTGGACCCTGGCATGGTGAACACTGAAATAACGAGGCACCTGGGGCGCCCTCTTGTGGCCATGACCAAGACCATCGCTTTCCTGATGAAGACCCCGGCAGAGGGAGCCTACACCAGCATCTACTGCACCGTCACTCCTGAGAGCCAGCTGCTCACTGGAGGATACTACAAGTCAGTCTGCAATGAAAACACAGCTGCAGCAATACTTAAGTTACATCAATTTAAATCAGAAAAACCAACAAGCCTCCTAAGAGGTCAAATCCGATGTCGGGTAGCATCATTACACACATTTAAAGAATCTGATGTTTCATAGTGCATAATGTTGGTAATTGTAGTTGTGCTTAAAGGTCCCATGTCATGGCCATTTCTACTGATCATAATTCCATTGTTGAGGTATACTAAAATAGATTGACATTGTTCAATGTTCCAAACTCACATTGGTTTCGCATACAGCATATCTGTATAGTATGTGTATTCACTCTCTGTCCTAAACGGCTTGTTGGAGCTCCTGCCCCCCCTCCTTGTGAGCCCAGTGGCCGTCTGCGAGACAGCGAGACACAGCGAAACCCAGCCCGAAACCAGCCCGAACACACACACCCGCAGCCTGGCTGGGAGTTTGTGTGTGTGCTCACACACAAGCTGGGAGTTTGTGTGTGTGCTCACACACAAACTCCCAGCCTCGCCGCGTCCCGCCGTCTCAGGCGGAGGAATCGGCGGAGCTGCAGCTGAGAAAAGATTGAGTGTGTGTGTGTGAGGAAGACTTAACGTAACGGCTCCACGGACGTAACCACTATACCCAAATACGTCACTATACCCAAGAAGTAAACAATGGAAAAAGAGAAATCTCCAACGAGGCGTTCTGGGGCAGCATAGACAGGTCTTTTCTGTGTTAGACTTTTACTCGCTACAGGGTGTACTTTGAGGGTTTGTGACTCTGCAGACCGTTTACATGCAGAAAAAGCTACATAACACACAAGGGGAAGGGTAATAACCGGAAAAGCATGACATGGGCTCTTTAACACATTTAGTCCCAATTGAAGAAGAGATAGAAAGGACTTGCCTATGATTTGTGTGTCAGCAGGAGAGTTTGCAGAACTACTGCACACACCACACACAGTCTTCATTAAAAGATGCAAAAACATGTTAATCAGCAACATTACAGTTAAGACTAAAAGCCTTTACAGCAGCTAATAAGGCACTGAATGAACAACTGAGACTTTATTCATGAGACACACATGAATGGATCTAGATTCTAGAAGCTATCATGCATCACTGATTGTGTTTTATCTCACAATGGAGGAGGATTAAATTACAAAAATGTTTAAAACTCTAAAATACAAACATTCATCTGTTTGCAACTCATATCAATATTCCAATTACTGTATATTATTCTGCACTGTTTCTATTATATTATATTATATTTGATTTACCTACGTACTATTTTATCTGTTTTATTGTGTTGCACTGTTGGAGGAGCCTGTGAACTTAGATTTGCATTGTCATAACTACAGTGTAGCTATATGCTCACATGACAATAAAGCCTTGAAACCTTGAATAACTTGCATGTTGAAAGGTAATCCTGTCTGTGTGTTTCCTCTCATTAGGGACTGTGCCGGTGCAGAGAGCTCCCGGGCCGGACAGGATGATGGCACCGCTTTGAAGCTGTGGGCTGTGAGCTGCCACATGCTAGGCATCCGCTGGAGATAAACTCGTATTAATTTGCTCTCCTACAGGCTTTGAAGCACTGTATACGAGCACATAAATATATCCTTAATATGAACAGATATTATGCTGATAATTAGATTTAGTGAATTCTGAACATGTAGGTAATGATTGCTGAGATGATCAAAGGTTGGGGAAAGCAATGATCAATAGCTGTTGCTAATAAACACTATCACTGGTATTCCAAACGTCCAATGTACTCATCTTTTGTTGTGTGGTACTGTAAATCAGATGTCAGCATTAAGCATCATATTCTAAATGTTCACTGTTGGTTTAATAACTATTGTTCTGAATATCTTATTTGATACTTACCAATAATGTGTTTTTTGTTACAGTGTAGGCCTACACTCCCAAGACTGGGATTAGGTATTGACAAACTGGTCTAGTTTAATATTTGAGAACCTCGAGTGACCAATTAATAATGATGCATTATTATCATCATAAGCATGCTGATAATAAACCTCTAATAGGAAGCTTCCTGCTACAATATCACTTTAAGTGAGTTATTCATGAGGGTTGTTTTGGCCACTTCCTGATGGTTAGTGTCACACACAGCAAAAAAACAAATCGATTGCATTGACAGTATAGATTTGCCATCATTGCTTTGGGGTCAGCTCGCTGTGTAACTTGAGTTTCTCCGGCTGTGGAGCAATTTGTGGATCAATTATGCGTCAGCTCGCTCCTGATTGGCCAGCCGCCGAATGTCACGAAACAAACCGCGGCGGGGTGGGGATGGCAGGCACGAAGTGTGGGAGCACCAGAGGAGGTGGTTCAGTCTGGATAAAGTGCTTTCCTGAGGTGAATCTGTTGCTCCGGAGGAACAATGAAATGCAGGTAGGAAAACACACAGCCCGTAACACACGGTAGGACGGTGGCTATATTATTAACGCGACTGTTAGTAATTTTAGGGAGATTACGTTGCACCGTGCCAGCAGTAAAGAGACCTGTGTTTAAATGTGTATTCTGCGTCGATCCAGACCGTTTTGCTTTGCTTGTTAATCATAACTATGCACGACTTCATTTATTTGGTAAATGAACCGTTGAATGAACCACTCTGATTGTGTTTGATTGTTGATACAAACTAAAGATTTTCTGTTATTCTTACAGAAAATAGCCAGGTGCATGTCATTATCACATACAAAGAAGATAATAATACAGGACCTATTACAGGATACAGCAAACATGCCTAAATATAAGTGCACTGCTTACATGTAACAGAAATGTCAACATGTGTTTTAAAAGTCACTGAAATCATCAATGTGTGGGATCTGTTTTGCAAAGTTGATTCTTCTCTAAAAATAATTCCAAATGTCTTCACTCTTTTGGAAAATTCCTCAAAGAATCTTGTTTCTGAATGAATGTTTGTAAATAAACAAAGCAGATTACAGTCAGCAAAAGCAGGGGGGGATTGCACATTTAAATACTAATCTTGAAGGGAGCAACTGTTTTGATTGATGTGTGTTCTCCTGTGATTGGTCCAGAAATGTGTGCTGTTACCGCTGGTCCTCTGAAGAGAGGTTAGATGGGAAAACCGCCATCATCACCGGAGCCAACACTGGTATTGGAAAGGAAACTGCGAGGGACCTGGCCAGAAGAGGTACTCCCTGCTGAAAAAAACAGCTTAGACCAATTTAGCCAGCCAGCCTGACCAACTAAATTGACCAGCCAGTAGATATTAGGCTGGAATGGTTGGCTGGTTTAGAGGGGTTTTGGACACTTTAGCTGACCAGGATGGCTGGTTTAGCTGGTCTAGCTAAACCAGCTAAACCGGCCACCAGCTAAACCAGCCATCCTGGCCAGCTAAAAAAAACAGCATAGACCAGCATAGTATGCTGGTATGCTGGGCTGGTCGCCAGCATCCATCTATCACCAGCTTATGTTTAATAATAGTATTAAATATACCATTACAAGGATTCCAGGTGACCAGCATACATGAATAATAATGCATTTCAAACTGACTCGGGCTACGCATTCCACTTTTGTTCCCTGGAGTTAAGCACCTCTAATGCTTTGGGTGGTCTTAGCTACACATTGTGATCTTTTGTCCTGACTACACTATAGAAGCGTAATCCCACTTGTGTTCCTGTTCAATGTGCTCATGCTGGTCGGACTCTCAGAAGCCTCAGGTTACCGGCTTTGACTCATTCTGAGACCAAAACACAGGGCAGAAGGAAAAGAGATGCCAAAAGAGAGCTTTTTGCTTAACACCAATCCAAGTGAAAGACAACTGGCAGTGATGGAAGGCAGATGATGCATCAAGGGGACAGAGGGAGCATTGTGAGGGTCTGCTGCCCTCCGAGCCAGACAGGAAACAAAGAGAGATTGGAGGGTGAACTTGAAATGAGTCTCAGCATGGCATAATACCTTGAAAAAACCCCCCACTGTGCTTTAGTCTAAGTGCATGCATGTGGGTGTTTTGTAGATCAAAAGGGCAACTACTGTAGAAATCATGATTCTGTCCAATAATCTATCTTGTAGTAAATAGAAATGAGTATATTTGCAGAGCAACATGAGAAATGAATGGTGACAAAGGAAAGACAGGACAAAAAGAATCATTACCGCCAGAGGAAAACAATAACACTCTGGTCTCGCTTCTGGCGAATTCCCTGTCGAATAACAGTCTCCCATTTCAGTAAATGTGATTATGTAATGACATGATGCCAAAATGATTCGATTTGCAGTGATTCATAACAGAAGGCGGTTCCTGTGGGCGACGCATCAGGACAACCAAACTGAATCTTAACCTTTTTTTAATAATGTATTGGTTGGGTATACCATTCATTTACAATGTTGACAAAGTTAAGTAGTGTGGAATCTGAATATGCAGAGCATGATCAGATTTAAATATGATTTTCCTCTTGTCCTTATTTACATACTGACATTATGTATGCATGCATCTGTTGGAGGGTCTTTAACTTGACTCAGCATAACCTTCCATTATCTCTGTTTGTTCCCTATTTTATTTAATTGAGTGAACTTGGCTACCGGGAAATGTGGGAGCGATTGTTATTTTCCCACATGGGAACAGCGGCGGGGAAACAAAGACACTGTGATGGGATGCAGACGCTACGCTCCAACTGATTAATGGCTCTCCTATTCCGTAATTGGTGGGCATACCATCTATTTTGTGTGTGTGGGGGTAGTTGTCTATCTATTTGCTAGATTGTGTGTGCACGTTTGTGTGTTAGAGAGAGTGTGTGTCTGTGCCCCTATTTTGGGCTCATTAAGGGGATGCATAATCATCTGCGTCAGAGGCGAATGAGAATGTCACAGTTGAGAGGCTCTTGTGTGTATGCGGCTAAATGAGATGCTAAATGAGAGGTTAGAGAACAGTAGGGGATGATCGGAAGTACACCGAGAGATTTCCCCACTTCCTCCTTGATTGACGTAGGTAGCTGTGTGTGCCTGCCAATGACCTTTTGTAATTTAGAGTTTGGAAACTTTGAAACCTTAATATAGCACTGTAAAGTTTATATTCAGAAATTAGTATTTGTACTGGGATTTTTCCTGAGGTATAAGATGTGTAGCACAAAGAGAAAGCCTCGAGACAAGGCCAGAGTTCATATTGAAATGCTCTACCCATCTATCCATCATTGCAGTTTCTAAATGTGGGTTTTGTGAGGCACAAATAAACAAGTTGTAGCTCGGGGAATTTGAAAGTTCCTCGTTAACCTGAGCTGTGTTTATTCAGACTGTGGGATGTTGATGGCGTGGGCTGGAGAGAACTTGATATTATTATCATAGGTTGTGACCTTTGGCCCCTGTTTTTTTTTTAGGTGCACATATCGTCATGGCTTGCAGGGACCTAGAGAGGGCAGAGGAGGCCAGGACGGACATTATGGAAGACACGGGGAATGAGAATGTGGTCATCAGAAAACTGGATCTCTCTGACACCAAGTCCATCCGAGCGTTTGCTGAAATCATCAACAAAGGTATGACACTTAACATTAATGTCTTCATATATCGAACAGTTTGTGGTTCAATCCCTACTTTCTCCTGTCCATATGTAAAAGTGCTATAAATGCAGTCCATTTATTGGATTTCTGCCTCTTTTTTGCCGAATAACTCCTTATATTATTGTGTTTGTGTGGGATGATCTTTTCAGAGGAGAAACAAGTGAATATCCTGATAAATAATGCAGGCGTCATGATGTGTCCCTACTCCAAGACTGCTGACGGGTTCGAAATGCAGTTAGGCGTCAATCATTTGGGTAAGTCATTCTAGAAATTGTGGCGTCTACCTGGATTATAAATGTCATGATAATGCACATGACAACAAAATGTGGCATGTGTTTGAGGGATTTCATAATAAGATCACAGGCTGGATTTTCCTTTTGAAGATGGTACACACATTGTATTACATAATAGTTGGTGTACACATGTAAAACCAAGCTGTCCAACATGTCAGCCAGGGAAATGAACCACAGTCACTGTTATCTTCAAGCTGTCAGTGTTTTTTCCCCGTTTTGAACCATGGCTTCCCTCCAAAGTATCCTATCCACCGTGGTATTTTTGTCACAGCCTGAGATGGTGAAGAACAGTCTGTGCTCGAATATGATCACCCACACACATATGCAAAACACATGCGCACACACACACAGAAAAACACATACCTATACATTCACATTGTTTAAATAAACTCTGCTTAGGTCAACGTGAAACAGGAAACAGACAATAGTCAGGAAAGCAAAAACCACATCCCACAGGATCTTTACGTTTCCTATACAGAGTTCAAATGAGTACACTTAGGGCATCAGTATGTGCATCCTGAACAGAAGGACAGCTTTTACAAATATTCCTTTGTATTTCTATTTGCATAAAGTTCATTGTTGGTCACATTAAATATACCTGGGATGATATCAACTTGAACTGAGCTGAGCTAATGTAAGGAAGTAGACAAAGGCATGTTTTCTCATGTATTGTACATGCAGAGCATCAATCCATATGTTCTTTAAGTCAGGGTATCCAAGTGTGGTCCATAAACTAGAATCATGACCTTATTATGAACGTACTTTATGTTTACTATGACAAGCAACCGCTGCAGTAATGCCACCATTGTGTTAGCACTTACACTTGCATAAGGGGTTGTGATTGTAAGAGGTTGAAATAAAGAGAGATGCACAAGGAGAGACAAAGATCCCCAGAGAGGAAGAAACAGAAAGAGACCTGGTCCTCAATATCATGATAGAAAAAGTTCTGTAAACCTGAACATCAGTGCAATGTAAGGGATAAATAATGTTGAAGACATGTAAAAACATATGCATAAAGAGCATTGTAAACCTCCAAACTATTTTTTTGAACAAGGAACGCACCAGCAATATAATAATAAAGCTTTATGTGTACAGTAAAGCACTTTTCATACACCAGGTGCAGCTCACAGTGCTTTAACAAGGCACACATCACCATTTAAAACAGAACAAGAACGCCTTGTTTCCACATAGCTTTGTATACATATGCAGGTCAACTGGAAGTTCATTCATTCCTCTGGGAACATCCGTGATCTGGAATACCATTGTGAAACTCCTTAAGTTTTTTTTCCTGCCTGGAATTTGCCCCGAGTACAGGAGCTTCTGTAAACAATAGACGAGGAGATACTGGTCAGGAAAAGCATGCTCGAGTTGGAATGATAAAACATGTTAAAGAGGACTACAGCACTCACATTTAAAACCATTTCTTTGCCACTAAAAACCAAATATAATTGCATTATTTTTGAACAAAAAACCTCGTTTGTTGAGGGGATGAAAGGCACAGGGGAATTAATGAGGTGGATTTTCCGAGCTGAATGCGGCATGGTAAATCTGCAACACCTAAGGTTGTGTTTACGATCTTAAACCCTTCAATCTCTCATTTACATGTACAGCACTTTGGCCCGACCAAAAATCGCTTTTAAATGTGCTTTATAAATAAACTTTGATTTGATTTATATCGCTGCGTTTCCCAGTAAAAGAAAGTGTACCGGATCAGACCGTTTCATCGTGATCGTGAAATCCATCACAGTTTGTTGTAAGGATTTTTACAAAGTGAGACAATGGCCTGAAAGCATGTGTCTCATGGCTTTACCCAGGTCACTTCCTGTTGACTTACCTGCTGCTGGACCTCATCAAGCGCTCAGCCCCCGCCCGTATCGTGGTCGTGGCGTCGGTCGCCCACACCTGGACCGGGCTGCGACTCGATGACATCAACAGCGAGAGGAGTTACGACACCATGAAGGCCTACGGGCAGAGCAAGCTGGCTAACGTCATGTTTGCACGCTCGCTTGCCAAACAGTTACAAGGTGAGGTGAGATGATGCTTTTATAAGCACATCACTAAGAACATATGATTCACACATTTATGCTGTAGCCATGATATAAGGATACACAGGAGTATGTGATCGCATTAAGGAGGTTCAAGTATTAATGTCTGGTCTTGAAGGATGAATGTATTTTATAGTGCACTTAGATAATAATAGCCTTTGTAGTTGCTAAGAAAGGCATATTAAAAAAGCCTTTCATTCACTCATACTGAACAATAGACTTATGTAAGCATGTCCAAACTTGCCCTTACTTCTGGATTGGAACGCTTGCCTAAGTGTTCGTTCTAGTTTAACTTTTCTCTTTCTGGGAAAGTGCAGCAATTAAATTATATAAAAATCTGTCTTTCATTTTAAATGAGCCATCACGTTGTTCATTTTTCCTTTTTGATAAATGGTCAAGAACTAAAAGAAAATACCGTCTTATGACAACACTGCAGGGTAATTGTAACTGTCTCTACATCTGGAAGAAAGCTGTCACACAAGACCATTTGGATTTAAAACAAAAAGCCATTTAAAGGAAAGAACATTACAAATAAAATACATACATGTATTACATTGCTCAGTCATTGATACAACTGTTAAAAAGAAGCATATTCTGCACAGAAATATGTGTAAGTTGTATGAAAATCATAGCAGAATATCGATATGTTAATGCCTTGTTTTGCATGTATAAATAGTACAGTGCTGTATGTGTGTAGGTGACTGTGTGGGTGCTGGTTCTCGTGTTGCAGGTACAGGGGTGAGCGTGTTCTCTCTGCACCCGGGGGTGGTGCAGTCTGACCTGTGGAGGCACCAGCACCAGTGCATCCAGGTGGCAGTGAAGATCTTCAGGATTTTCACAAAAACAACCCTGGAGGGGGCGCAGACCACCATCTTCTGCGCTGTGGAGTCGGGCCTGGAGAGCGAGAGTGGAGGCTACTTCAGGTACTATTGGTTATACAAGAGCTTTCAGAGTGCCTCATGCGGGCTTAGTATTACTTCCTGCTGACTACCTAGAAAGTAATCATGTAGGCGGCTGAGGGTCTACTTTTTTTTGTGTGTAATGTTCATTTTCTGCTCCTGATAGTGACTGCGCTCCGGCAAGGTGCTCTAGAGCGGCTTCTGATGATGAGACGGCCCAGAAACTGTGGGAGATAAGCTGCAACCTGCTTGGCATCACCTGGCAGTGAACAGGAGCATATCAACTGTGCCAGGGTGCGGTCGAATAGTCCATTTAGCTTAGGAACCTTCCCAACGGAGTGAAATGACCCGGAAGTCCCTCAGTGGCAGCCATGATAAGTGCCGTTCGAATTCTCTAAATTAAAAGGAAAGGAGGTTTCAAACTTCCTTTATAACCTCCTTTAGCTTAGGAACCACTGGACGTCCCTAACCGAAAGGAGAGGAGAAAATGCTGCCCCACAATGCCTTGCGGCCACCGCATTTGCCGTCACACAACAGTCGGCCGTTCACGGAAACAATCGATTATGAACGAGAAATAATATCATGAAAGTTACGGTTCAAAACGTATGTGGTAAGTTGCCAAAGTAGGCTACTTTGTTTTGAATGTTCATCAGTATTATAATCAAAAAGAGAAATATGAACGTTAGTTTTTACTGAAATGATCAAATAAAGTCAACATTTCACAGTCTTTACTAAGCTGTGTGGGGTTTGTTCAACTTTTAAAAAGATGTTTGAATGGTGATATACACAGTGATAGATGTTAAGGACTAACGTTTATAATAAATACATTTGTATTGCTTTTAAGATCTTTTCATAGTTCATACAATCATACGTATTGGGATCATTTGTATTAATGTGGACCGGAGGGAGAGGGTGACGAGCATAAGTTTCACTTTCCTTTTTTATTTCAATTCCAACTTTGGTCATGAAGAATATGTTTCTCTGTTGTCCCCGTTCATAAAGCATAAAACAACAGCATCAGAGCACGGTGCAGAGTCTCTAGATGAGTTTACAGTAGTCCCTCGTTCTTATTAAACATCCATGTTGTAGTCCGCTGTATAGAAAACTGTAGTTTCCATAGTTTCCCCACAGCAGCAGGCGCACATTTATGACCTCCGCTGGCGCATCATAAACACGTCGGATAGTGAAAGTGCAGTCGGGTTCTCTAAAGCAGGGGTTCCCAACCTTTATTGTGCCAAGGACCGGTAGATACATTAAAAAAAAAATCGCGGACCGGTTGTCAATTTTAACTGATTTTAATATTTACTCACCACCAGCAGGTAGCAACAGAGGCTAATTGTATGTAACAGCCTGAACAAATACTAGAACAATATGCATCCAAAACATATTAACAAAGTTTAAAAAAGAACCGGTGTTGTTTTTTTTTAATCCAGTGAATGCTGGGAAAACGAGGAGAAGGTGCATTATGAAGGAGATGTCCGGTCGCCTGTGTGTGTGTGTGTGTGTGTGGTGTGTGTGTGTGTGTGTGTGTGTGTGTGTGTGTGTGTGTGTGTGTGTGTGTGTGTGTGTGGTGTGTGTGTGTGTGTGTGTGTGTGTGTGTGTGTGTGTGTGTGTGTGTGTGTGTGTGTGTGTGTGTGTGTGTGTGTGTGTGTGTGTGTGTGTGTGTGTGTGTGTGTGTGTGTGTGTGTGTGGTGTGTGTGTGTGTGTGTGTGTGTGTGTGTGTGTGTGTGTGTGTGTGTGTGTGTGTGTGTGTGTGTGTGTGTGTGTGTGTGTGTGTGTGTGTGTGTGTGTGTGTGTGTGTGTGTGTGTGTGTGTGTGTGTGTGTGTGTGTGTGTGTGTGTGTGTGTGTGTGTGTGTGTGTGTGTGTGTGTGTGACACTGGCATTTATTTTCAGAAGATATTATGATAGTGTCGTTCGTTCCGGTGCACTCCCGACAGTTTAGCACTACATCGAGATTAAGATTAAACTAATTTATTTTGGGAACAGCCGCATATATGCCGGTGTCGGACAGACACAAACACACCGAACACATAGCTGAGCTGAGCAGAGCACATACACACACATGCGTCTTGGTGACTGACTGGACATCTCCTTCATAAAACTAATAAAAGGGGGAGTAATCGGGCAGTTCGATGTGTGTAGATGTGTGTGTGGTTAACACGTAGCAGCCTGCAGTCACTCTTAAACTGTTCTGATTAAGTTAAACACAGCGAAGGCGGTGCGTAAAAAGGCACAGCTCTTTACCGAGTACGTCCCGCTGCCTCCTGATGCTGCAGCCAAATCATGAAGTGAAGGAGGGTTTCCTTCTATAAAACAGCTGCGGGCAGCAGATACCGTGAGAGTCCCGGTCATTAATTCATAGATCAAGGCAGACTGGTTTACTCTCCTATTTTGCCAATCCGGTGCTTAAACAAATAGCTCCCTCTACACCCCTGGCCCACCTTAAAATGAAGTCCGAGTTTGAAATATATCTCAAATAATGTATGCACCACCATTTCCCCACATAAACATAACAGTCTGCAATCAAACGGTTGTCTCCTGTGCGCTCCTCTTCCTACTTGGCGCACCGGTAACATGCTCGTGCGCACAAGAGGCTGAGACCTTAGGCTGAGCCGCCGAATCCCTCGGAACATCATAAAAGCCATTTTCAACGGTTTTCTGGTGTAAGATTAACTAGCTACTGGATGAAATAATATGACTGGTGGCATATGTGCGAAAATTAAACACTTTTTGAAAAAAATATTATGATAAAATATTTTTATATATTTATAATTCTGCAAATATTACGATAAACTCACAGCTATTTCGCGGCCCGGCAGTAACACCTCCGCGGCCCGGTACCGGTCCGCGGACCGGGGGTTGGGAACCCCTGCTCTAAAGTACCGCAGTCTCTTCTCCTAAGTCCTTTTGAATTCTCCTATCCACTATCCCTTAACCCCATGACGTTTCACTCCGAGGTCAAGGAATAGACGATAGGGTTAGAACTTAGGAGCTGTTTTTTTGGAGTATTCGACCGCAACCCCAGTGTGTGCTATACATCATATTTTAAAGAACACTTTTACACACTTTTATAGAGATATTAATCTTACTGTTGTGAAACAGGGGTATTTTATGACTCACAGTCCAGAAGTCGTTTAGTCACTTCCAAGAGTTCCTTTATTTGTAAAATATCTAAAAATTAAACGGACATTTTAGTCATTTTGTAATTATTCAACATTCCTCATGGGCATTCTTTGCAAAGTCACTTTTGAGTGCAGATGGCATTATTTCCTGTAAAGCTTCTTTAAAAGACGTGCATGATCTGTCTTTGGATGGAAATGTCTTTACATTTGCAAGTGAGAAACAAAGTTCTGGTTTTCCATTTGACCTACATTTCTTAGGATCATTTTTGTGTGTTTGTTATACTAATTTCACCAAGAAGAGGTGTAGGTGGAAAACTACCCCATGTTTTAAATATGAATCAAAACACTCATGTTGGCTTCCTTCTTTTAAAAAATACATTATATTGAAAAGAAAGAGTGCATGGAGAATTAAGGCTTACCCATACAAATTTAAAAAAAAAAGGATCTTGACAAAAATATGCATATGCAAAAGCTTTTTAGTTTCTTAGAAAAAAGATTCTGGTAAAACCATAGACTTACAGAATCAAAAACCATGTTTCTTTCTCACTTGTTTCTATAGCGCACATATTGTGGTTAATCTTTAAAGCAATTTGTGACATTTAATAATAACTGGGTTCTGTTGTTTGTGAAGTATTATAATGTATATTTATTAATCAGTAAAATACAATCCATTGATCTAAAATTGTTTCATTAAACAGCTGTGTATCACATTATCTGCTGTTTCAGATGCCTTCCTTTTAGCTGAGCGTGTGACAATATGTTCATTTTAGAAAATATATAAACAATTGACACTATAAATAAGATTCAAAGTGTGTGCATTTTATGTAAAAGTGACCATCTGCTTGAGTTCGGAATGAATGTATTAATGTTAACATTTTCCAAGCTGTTAGGTAAAACGTAACGTGACACTGGAGGAGAGGGTTCAGAGAGATTAGGTAAGTTCACTGTATTAATAATAAGGAGGGAACGAAGGGTCTTAAAGTCTGAGCGATGTCACTCAAACAGATGACTGAATTTCAATGTGACTCATTTCAAGGACAAATGTACATTTGTTGGAATCCTGCAGTCGAAGGGTCACAAAGATACTGTATATGCAAATGTAGGACTTGTTACACAGGAGAATCAGTATATTGTGGATCAAAGATCAAGAGAAAATGAATTGTATTTAGAAACAGTACCTTAATCCAAATCACATGACGGAGTAGTTAAGACTTAAGGAATGTGACATGAGCTAGTGGAGTTAATAGCAGGATTCTAGGACCAATGCTCCCCCTTTATGTACCTCCTATTATTGGCTTCTGTTACATTGGCCATGTGCATTTATTTTTTGAGTTGTCATGCAACAACTGAATTTCCCTGCTAAGGATCAATAAAGGTGTATCTTAATATCCAGAGATACATATTATTCTGAAATGGGTTATGTTATGTAATGAACGTTTCCACTTCAGTACACTTGATGCTGATAATATTGTAAGTAACTAAATACATGTAGTGGAGTAAAATTACAAAGTTGCATACAATCAAAATATAAAAATATTACAAGTCCCTAAAAATTGTACTTGGAAGAGTACTCGAGTAAATGTACAAATCAAAATCAAATCAAGTTTTATTTATATAGCACATTTTTAAAACGATTTTTGGTCGAGCCAAAATGCTGTACATAATTACTTACTTACCTAGTTACTTTCCACCACTGTACGACGGTAAGAAAAATATTTTAACCTATGCTGCTTTATTGTGTATGTAAACCTCCCGGCCTATAGGTGGCAGTATGGTCAGAAACTCAAGCCCAAAAGAACCGACAGTGATGACGAGGGAAGATACTGCGCATGCGCGCGTATAAAGGCTACGTCAGCCCTTCTCTAATCTCAAACTGCTTCCCAGAAGCTACGTGTCCTCATTCCTTCGACTGTCTTCTCCTCTAACACGACCTCAGACCGGTAAACTGAGCGATATTATATCAACTATTACTGTATCTCTTACTTAAAGTTAACGCACTAGCTGGTTTGGTATTTACTTCGACTTTTATTCGTTTTTGTATTGTATTTCCAGCTAAACTAGCGTGACGTCGACAGGTTAGCTTTTCTTACGTTAACGTTAGCTAGCATGTTAGCTAACACCGCTGACTGTTAGTTTACACAGCTGACTTCAAAATATGTTTTTTAACGACAAGAACACACCATTGTCAACATACTGGTTGATATTTGACGCTTAAAAAGACATGTACAGTATGTGTTTTACATTAAGTCCGTTGTGGGAGTCACGATAGACGCAGGCTTCTGAAGTCAACGTCATCACTCAGAGCAGCAGTCCGAGATTTGACACTAAATCAGATTTTATTCTGTCTGCAGCTTGAACATCATGGATCAGGTTATGCAGTTTGTGGAGCCCAGCCGGCAGTTCGTCAAAGACTCCATAAGGCTCGTAAAGAGATGCACGAAACCCGATAGAAAAGGTAAGATCATATTTTAAATCCATTTGGCCCAGTCTCTGTTGTGTTTGCATCTCTGTCGAAACGTTATCAATTGAGCTTCAGTTGATCCACATCATCCTTAGCTGAAAACATTTTAACATACTTGACTCTCACTTTTCTACATACTATGATTGTTGACGTATAATATGCCTTTTTTACATACTATACCATTACTTTCCCGACTTACTATGGTATCGCTTTGTTTTGTAACATGCAATACTACGCTATAACTTAGTTTCCTACGATTGTTCTGATTTAATCAACACACCATAGCTTTTTCTCACATACTTGTGCTATGTGATCAGAACAGACTTTTTTCCCACTAACAATACTATTACTTCTTCTACATAGTATACGACTTTTTTAAAAACTTTTATACTATACGTTGAAACATTTTTGACACTAACCTTTTTCACTAAGGTTTGTCAGATCTAATCTACATACTTTGCTTTTTGCCATACTTTTAATATGATTACTGTATGTTTTTCCTTTAATTGTATTTTAACCCATAAGAACCCGGACCCATTTCTACTTTTGGGGAAATTATTGGGAACATCATCTAGACTTAATATACCATATAGAACACATTTCTGACAAGTAACCCCCCCTAGTGTCAGAGATCTGAAAAGTGACACATATGTCACATTGACGGTCATGTGTCACACTCTTACCTTTAGCAACAAAAAACAACAAGCTTTCAAAATATAGCTAGTTCTACACATGGACATGTTGTTATGGGAACACAAAGTCACATGACTCACCAGACTGTTCAGTGTGTGTCACTTGGGGACTTCATGAGATAAAATAAAGGCTAAAGCTGTGTAAGGAACTTTCCAGAACATTTAACTGTCATGTAACATTTGTGTCACCGTGGGTTCTTATGGGTTACGTTTGATTTGATTTCCATTATTATTAAAAGCTCTTTGTCTTACGTCTTTGAATTGTGCTTCCTTCAGAATTCCAGAAGATTGCCATGGCCACAGCGATTGGGTTCGCCATCATGGGCTTCATTGGTTTCTTCGTCAAACTCATCCACATCCCCATCAACAACATCATTGTGTAAGTAACAGTAACACTTTACTTATATGGGTGGTTATACTATTGGGTATTTTGATTTGTGTTGAAGTTTTTGTTATGGGAAGCTTTATCCAAACACGTGATCCCTGTGATCCTATCAGAGATGGCCCTTTAGAGAGAGAGAGAGAGAGAGGGACTTTGTAATGACACTACCTCCTCAGCTTTTGATTACATGCTTTATTGTCTCTCTATCTACTCACTGAAAATATGTTTAAATCACAGTCAAATTGGGGTTGAATCATTAACTAAAAGGTTTTAAAATGTCTGTCCAGCCCTCATAGTAAAGCAAGTTTATTTTATGTCCTATCTTTTACATTAATTAACTGGTTCTAGACTAGAGTCAAGAATCAAAAAGCAATGGAGTCTTGATGAATAAGGGTTTATGTGGTTATGTTTTTTCATAGAGGTCAAGGACAAATGAGTAGGAAAAGACACAGGGCGCTATATTTAGATTATTTAATTGTACCCCATGTCTCATTTGCTAAAACTATTTTATTAACAATCTCACACTTGTGTTTGCTTCTGACTCTATGACTTGGTTAAATTAGACTTAGAGTATACTCCAAGTGGTATGATGCAAGATCTGCTGTTGTCAAACCATCTACTTTAATTCATCAAGACTTCTCTGAGTTTTTTATTTTCTATATTCACCATGGTGGCATGAAAGAAGAATACTGTTTTTTTCATAGTAACACTATGTATTCATTGTGTATAAATGAATACACAATTTAAATATCACTTGTATACCAGAGCTGGAAATGCTCACATTATTTCGAACCACTGTTCAAGTGGCTTACTCATTAGTACGATCAACATTTGATAAGTTATGATTGGAACAAACACTTTGTTTTATTGCATAATTGACAGAAACCAACACAAAAATGATCACACTTGTGGCATTCATGATTTTATTTTGTACAGTATGTTAAAACATCAAAATAGCATTAATTAAGGCTTGTAAAAGTCTCAATATATGAGAAGTAGGATTGGCTGTTTTTGAAAGGAAATTGTTAGTACAGTGATGAATCAAGGTGGGTCTACTCATGCACACAAGACTTGCATTTAAGGGATTGTCTTTCTCAGAGCAGTTTTTATTTATTCATTGCTCTTTCAAACTGAATATTACAGTGACATATCTCTGTAGCTTTCTCTCATCACTAACACTGCCTTTCTCTTGTTTCCCCTCTAGTGGAGGTTAAATCCTGGACAAGAACAAACTTCAACTCCTGGGGACAGAAGATGGCGATGCAATGCAATGTGTTAGTGGGCTGGTGTAATCGGGGACTGAAGGGATGACATTTTTACATTCGGTGCACGACATTTATATTTCAATGTGTAAATAAAAACTATGGAAACTACAACTGAATGCTTTCCAACAGTCTTTTTTCAATAGCCTTGATATCACTACGTTTACACCAGTTTGGTTTGAACATTGCCTGACATTCAAAAATACAATTTAATCGTCATCACAAGGCACACGTAGTTTGATGTACAGTATTTTTCATAGCAGACAAGTGGGAACAGTGGCACTTATTTAAAAAGGCACATTCTTTAGGCTTTTGAATTTCTGCTTGCACAGTGAAAATCATAGCCACGTGTTGCATAAAACCAGTTAAAAGTGCTAAAATATTAAATATCCTTGACAGAGATGGCAGACATGGTATTAAAATAAAACTAAAAAAATCTTTCTTTGATTAGTTTGGAATTTTCTTATAAACCAACAAAGCTAACCAGATATTGATCAATCAACAGGTTTCATTCTTTGTAAGACTACTGAGAGTTAGGATATTTCCTGTCTGTCGTCATTCCTCCTCCTTACAGATACCCATACTCCAGAGCAGAGGCTGGTCTGTTGTCACGGTTACAGGCTTCCTGGGGATTCCAGGGGCAACAGGTTCGTAGGTGTTGGAGGTGCTCACCAGCTTCCCAAACTGCAGGACCTGGTCATCTAGAGAGAGAAGACATGATTAGATTCTGCATTAATGAGGGCGTTCTGAGTAACACTTAGTGGCTGCTTCGAATAGTCTGGGTGAATTATTGAGTGGGTAGAATTAGATATTTGGTGTCACTAGTTAACTTTGTAATGCACACCGCCGGTTATTTGAACATTAATCAAGACCATGAGCAGTTACTCATGATATTAAGACAATGTCGAAAAAAACAACATAGCATACTATGTCGAAATAAGACATAGTATAGTATGTCAAACT